GCTGAAATGGGTAATTCCACACTATTTCTTTAAAAGGAGATCAGCTCTCTCTCAGGAAATTGCATTGAAATAATAGGTTCCTAATGTCACAGCTTGCTCCAGTTCATCTCACGATGGAGTACACCAGAGTCACTATAACGATGTAGTTCCCCTCTGTCAGTGATAGCCTTGGATTGCTTTAACTGTTCAGACAGGGATAGTTGAAGAGTGGGTTATGGAAAATTGTTGGACGGGTAAGTAAAACAACGACGGAAGTTTTTCTGAAGCTAAAGGCTAGCGATGACAGACATTTTCTCTCTCCTCTTAGGCACCTGAATTCTCATAGTATTTCTTCCCTATTTTACAGCTATGCAACGAGTAGAGAACTTTGCCAGCAGTACACTGTGAAGAAGGCTGCGCAGTACATTTATATGAAGATATGGTATCTTTGGGGTATAGCTTAAGTGAAGCTGCATGCAGAGGGTGTCAGAGAGGTAAGAAATTCTTATTTTGGCCATATTAAAGTAAATAAAAACACGGTGTGTGCTGATGTTGTACATAGATATACAAAGCCAATAAAAGGTTGGGGTAGATCTCTAAACAAACCCAAAATAAGCCATCCCCTGTTCTTATGTAATCTGGATGTATTCTTAAGACCATTGCTGTGTGGCACCAGACAGTACTGTAAACATCAAATGAAGTTATGAATTCCATTCATGTTCTATATTTCTTTTACAGTGTTGGAAAATTACATTCACCACTTCATCCTGTAGCAACTTTAAGATGAAACCATGCAGTCAACTTATCCTCCAGGTAAGCAAGTAGCTCACAGAAGAGAGGCGCTGAAATGCCCTTTTGAAACAAAACTGAGAGCTTGCGAGTTTTTGGGGGATTTTTTGCATGTTTTGAGGTTTTCTTACAGACTTATACCTTGAAGTATTTCACTGTGTGTACTGAGATGAATTACTTATACCTGTAGGACAGTGTGTGGTCTGGGACAGAAATTGGTTAAGTTTAAATGGTTGAAACTGACTTTTTCTGTTTTGCTTCTGTTTGCCACAGACCTTTCAAGTGATCTTGCCCAATTAAATTAAGCCCTGTGTCAGATGAAAATGCTGGAGATTACTTCCATTTTCTGTTTGCTGTCTACTTAACCTGTAGGGTATGTGGTTGTCATACATGTGACAACGGCAAAATGAAGCCCTGCTCCTGAATTGGGCCTGTAAACACACTGCAGTGTTACAAAGTTTAATGGTTTGTCATGGTAGTGCTAGAAATTGGTGTCTATTCTAAGTGATGGGACACCTGGCCCTCTATAGTCTGAGATAACCCTGCATCAAGGAGTTTCAGTCAAATTGGTCAGGTGAGATCTGCTTCTTTGTATCAAGTCCAGTTCTCCAGGCACTATGTAAGCAGTATCTTGGGAATTTGTGGGCATCAGAAACTGTCTTGAAGAGGATTTTTTGTATAGAGGAAACCTCCACTTTCTTAATGCTGGTGGTGAAGGCCTGCCTGCAGCAGTAGCTCTGCCATCCTGTACTCTGAAGTACCTTTCCTCCCCTTCTGTTGCTTTCCCAGCCACCCATTGATGGGATCAGGTGGGATTGAGAGCAGGAAGGGCTGCTGCAGAAAGGGGAGGCATGGTAGAGTTGAACTCTGATGTTCTTTATATCAAATTAAAAGCAAGTGCTGTTATTTAAAGATCCCCTCCTGCCAGGTATAGATTGGTCCAGGACTGAGCTGCTGAGAGTGTTGGGGACAATTTAAAAATCTAATTCAAACCTACCAGAATTTAAATTCAAACCGTCTTTGCTTTGCCTGCAAATGACCACAGCATCATTGGCCTCAGCTGTGCAGCCTGTGGGCAAAATTCTGCTGTTTGCATGTCCGTGCCAGAAAAGTACTTCTTTGCCTGTGAGGTGGCAGTGGGATGTGGCTGTGCAGAGCTCTCCATAGAGCCCCCTTGGCCCTGTGTGTATGGACTGAGAGCAGCTGTGCACTGCTGACCTGGTGCATGAGAGGGCTATCGAGAGATAGTCATATGTGGAATTATTTCATACTCGTCACTGTTTTGTCAAGTGCTTAATCATTCCGCCACATGTAATATATGGAATTAATAACTTCATGTGATGTCCTTTACGCCTGAGCAGCTAAACAGGCTTTTTTTGGAATAATGTATTAGATATACACCATGTGACTTTATATCACCTTGACACTGTTACACTGAAGCTTTATAGTTAAAAAATGACAAGAAATATCTTGGACAACTCAGGCGTTATTTTAGAAATGTTAGGCACCCATTCTGTGTTCCTAGTACAATGTCAACTGGTTGTTTACAGTTAGGTGCTGTTAACCTATCCAAATATTTTACAGTATGGGAAACATTCAGTGCTTGCAAGTCTCTGTTTTCATATAATGTGCAGGGTATAGTTTCAGGAACAAGTCAGTGCCTACGAATGCTTCATATTACGTAAGTGAACCTCAACCTCCAAAGCAATGCTGGTCTTGTTTCAACCATTCAGTTCACTTCTGAACTTACTTATTATTTTTTTGCTTTTCTCTTGCACGCATATAGGTATTTCCCTATTAGGAAGCTAAGAGATGCAGGCAGTATTTTTTTGCTGCTAGTGGTGCATAATAATTGTCAGAAACGGAACTCCAGCAACACTGTTACCGAGTCCATTTTGTTAGCTGAATTTTAAGTGTGCTTTGTTACTTCTTAAAATACATATGCTTGTATACATATACAAAAATAGTCTCTCTTAATTATTGCAGAAATAGATAAGTTGCTGTTACTTTCAATATTTCATGGATATTTTGGTAACAGCTGATTTTAGTGCACTGATGGTGGCAAAACAGTTCCACATTGAACCAAAATTACACGTATTCTCAGGATACCAGTGTGGAATTGCACTGAACTCGTAGAGTTCTTAGTCCTCTAGTTCCCAGAGAGGACCAGGGTAGGTAGTGGAAGGAACTTTATAAAGCAAGGTATTTCTGAGAAGAAAATCTCTGCAGCTGACTGCTAAAGCACTCAAGAGTCTGGCATCTCTTGCATATTACAATTGGGTAGCTGGCATATTGCTGACAGTAGGAGACACGCAGTATTGTTTGTGCCCTTTTTCCCTCTTGATATGTGATGCCACAAAGACATCTACTTATGAGGAAGTTTGCTGCTTGGATATGAGTTGTGATAAGCATTTGCAACCTGAGGGGAATGGATGATAAAACCATACACTTATGCGCCAAAGATACAATAGGAAAGAGACAGTCTATCAGTCACGTGAATTGTGATTGGCCTGTTGCAATGGAATAGCCTTTAACAAAAAGGGAAAAAAAAAAGCTATTTACCTTCTGAATGGATTTTACATAGTTGCACAAAAGGGAAAAGAAATAAGAAAAGCAGAGAGAAGAGAATAGAAAAGAAGAGAAACGTTCCCACCAGCTCTTCCTCTCCAAAATCAGCATTGATATTGGTGAAGTCACACACAAAGGAAAGTCTCATTTTCTTTGTGCCTCTCACAATGACATCAACATGCATGGCTATGAGATGACGAGAGAATACCTCACTCACAATGAGTAACAAATTAGAATTTTCTTCAAAGTAAAAAACATGATAACACCAGACCATCATAGGTATATGCTAGCTCTTTCAAATCATCTCTTTGGACTAGATGTCAGTTAAAATCACTTGACTGTCATTCTGTTCTATCTAACACAATACAGGGGGATATTCTGAATAGGCTGAAGAATGTCACCTATGCAACTTGGCTGGAACATCTGCCAAAAAGAAGTTGGCTTTGTTTTCAACATGGTTATCTACTTTGAAATTACTCCATAGAATAAATAGTGATATTCCATGGGTAGAGGTAGATTATGGGGGTTAAATAATCAAATTGGAGCCCCGTAACTTTATGTGCTATAGGAGGATTCTCATAAAACTGAGATATTCCCATAATTAACCACTAGCCATGGGATATTATAATATATTCCATGGTGACTAGTATTTTTTCCACTGCCCTCCCCCCTCCCAGTAGAATTAATATGATTAATTTTGCTCTGGTTTCACCTATTGCTAAAATGAATCGGTGTAATTAAAAATAAGAATACCATATTTTGAGGCAATCACTGTCTAGGCCAAACCAGTCCATAATGACCAGTCAGACCTTTTCCAGTTGGCCTTTGCCTGCTAGAAGGTTGAAAGAGCTGTAACTCACCAACCCATACTTGCAAAAGGAGCATGTTTTAGAAAATATGGTTCAAAGCTCTTCATAGTCCTAAATGCTAAATTCTAGTGGAATATTATAGAATAGATTGATTTGCATGCCATGGAATAAACATCCTTACATCTAGTCTTGTCTCAGAGTGAGTCATTTTGCATTAGTGTCAAGAATTTGAGCTGTTGTTCTACTTTGCAGTTAATCATCAGAAAGAGACAGGATGGTCTCATGAATATGCATGATGGTATAGTTGTCCCTTCAACTTACTAGGCACCTAGTTTGTGTAATGAGATGTACAATATCTGCCATTTAAAACAGCTGAAAGGTCCCAAATGGGAGCAAATGAGAAAGCATCTGGCTGTTTCAAATTCCAGCCCTGTTTTGTCAGAAAACTCTGTAATTGCTGAGTACTTGGCTCCTACTCTGCTCTGTGAAGCATACAGCTCTCAGGAGCCTCTGAGATGCATTACACAGTCCAGCAACAGAGCTGTAGAACTCTCAAAATTCTTCCACTAGATGTAACAGCTCTTCAAAATATCTTGAGACTTGTATGCCCTTAACCAGGACCAAAGTTTGGGCTCCTAGAGCGTGCTCTCATCCTTAGTTTTGCTGATCAGCCTCCACTGTACCATTTGTCCCTGCAACCTAGACTTCACACATATTATTCACTGTGTGATGGTGGGACTAGAATGGATAAATGTGCTACCCATTGCTCTAAGAAAGCAGTCTGGCTGAATCTTAAATCACTACGCGGGATGAAGGTTAACGGTCAGATGGACATTCCTCTAAGAGGTTTCCTACCTGCTCTGTTAATTTCTAAAATTTCTTCTTGGGCCAGTGGGCAAGTGTCGCTCTGAGTACTGTGGTGTGGAGAGTTTACGACAGATTTACAATAATTGGGGGATCCCAGCTGGGGTGGCCTCGGGATATGCTTCTTTTTTTTCTTTGGTAGCTTCTGCTTAGCCATAGCTAAGGAGTAATACATTCCGAAATTGTTCACAATGACAGGGACAGGCATGGCAATGGTCAGCACACCAGCGAGAGCACAGAGGGCCCCCACCAGCATGCCTGACCAAGTCTGAGGATACATGTCTCCGTAGCCCAGGGTCGTCATGGTGACAACAGCCCACCAAAAGCCGATGGGGATATTTTTAAAGTGTGTGTGTTCACTGGCACTAGGGTCATTTGGTTTAGCACCTATTCTCTCGGCATAATAGATCATCGTGGCAAAGATTAAGACGCCCAATGCCAAAAATATGATGAGCAGCAAGAATTCATTTGTGCTGGCGCGGAGGGTGTGTCCCAAGACCCGCAACCCAACGAAGTGACGGGTCAGCTTGAAAATTCGCAGGATTCGCACGAAACGGACTACGCGGAGGAAGCCCAGGACATCCTTAGCAGCTTTGGAAGACAGGCCACTGAGTCCAACCTCTAGATAGAAAGGCAGTATGGCCACAAAGTCAATGATGTTCAAAGAGTTTTTGATAAATTCCACCTTGTTTGGGCAGAAAGTGACTCTCATCAAGAACTCAAATGTAAACCAGACCACACAGACACCTTCGATGTAGGTGAGAAAGGCTTCAGTCTCTGCTTCCCTGTAGTGCCGCACCTGGGTGTCATTCCCGATGAATTCAGTTTCTGTCTTGTTCACAATGGGGTTAAATCTCTCATGGGTCTCGAGGCAGAAGGTGGTGATGGAGACCAGAATGAAGAAGAGGGAGGCAAATGCCACATACTGTGGAAAGAAAAATATGAGAGACATGTAAACAGTAGGTTAAGTACCGGTGCTTTGATTCTGAAACACCAGGGAGAGACAAGAGCTGTATTAAAAGTTAAGATAACACCAAGCCTTCTTCCTGAGGGCTGCAGATGCCAAGTCTTACCTGCAAAGACAGCCTAACATTCAAACTTGGAGGGAGCACAGTATATAAGTACATGCTAACATTCATTCCTATACGGATAAACCTTTATTTAGTGTGAGTGTAAATTTAAGCAAGCCTTTAAATCTCAGAGCTTTTCTGTGGGACTTAAGGTTAAGGACATTCTACCTTCCTTAACTTGGTTTTCTATTACTTCCTGGTCTTAAAGATAGAGCACACCTCCTAGGACAATTGTCATGCAAGAGCCTTTTGCAGTGTTATATCAGTGGTATGGTGGCTGCCTCCTGCTCCCAGCTTAGTGACAGTTGTGGTATTTCAGATCTTGGTAAGGTGCTAGTACAAACTCATGGCAGTCTCAGGTGGGCTCTGCAGGAAGGAGCAGAGTCCTACTTGGCGTTGTCAGACTTTCTTCCCAAATCCCAGGGACAGGTTGAGCATGGTCGTATATCAAACTGAGCTCTCCTAGGGTAAATATCATCTCAATTCTCAGTTCCCTTTTCCAGATCTTTTAAGGGTGAGGGACAGGGAGGGGAAGAAAGAGATTTCAGGTAAGCCTGTCAGCTCATCCAAAAGGAGACAAATCTATTGGATTTTACTGGGCAAGGTTTTCTTGAAGAGATTCTCATTACAATGTGAGAGAATAAAATCACAGAATCGTTTAGGTTGGAAGGGCTATCTGGAGGTTGTTTGGTACAACTTCAAAGTTGGACCAAGTTGCTAAGGGTCTTGTCCTGTCCAAGTTTGAGTACCTCCAAGGTTGGAGATCCCACAGCCTCTCTGGGCAGCCTGTGCCAGTGTTTGGCCAGTAAGAGCAAATAAGCTTGGAAGGATACAGAAGCAGACAGGCTCTTCTGCTTTTCAAATCCAACGTTACTGCCAAAGGCATCAGAACCTAGTTATTGTCACAGATTTAAAAAAAACTAGTACCTTCCCCAAAATGCTTTAGGCTATCACAGCATTGTTATGTGATGATATAATATGTCTGCTCTATCTTTTTATTTCACTAATAATGACTTGAACACTAATCAAACTAATGGATTGCTCTTGTATTATTTAGTGGTTCTTAATCTTCTTTTTCCTAACATTTTACAGCAGAATTTCTCTTCTTCCTAGGATCTGAATGAGCTGGGGGAAAGGAGTGAAGATTTTATGATGTCATGTGCTGGTGAGTTACATAATGGCAGCTAAAATTTTCTATAATTAAAGAAAATACCTAGGTAAAGTGTTTGAAGGGATCAAAACTCTTTTATCTGCTTTGACACATGTGAATTCCTTTTCCATTAGAGATGCTGCTGCCCTTGCTTTTTTCCTGCTCTAATACCAACAAAGAAAAATCTCAGATTGTCCAAAACGACAGAAGCCGTAAGAGGAGGCAGTGAGGAGACTTTAAAAGAGGCTATTTTGATTAAAATATATTACATTAAAATGTCTTCATTCCGGAGAGAGAAGAAATGAGAGAGAAGAGCCTACCTATCTCCACTGCCCTATGTCTTTTGTAGCCACTTTTGCCAGTGAGGTGTGAATATGAAGTGTCAGTTCAGAATAATAGTGTTTCACATCAGCTTTCGTAGCTGTAAAAGCAGCAAGATAACAGAATTGGACCTAGCATCTCATGAATATCGAAGCAGTATCTTTCCATTCTGCATGGAAAGAAAACAAATGTCCAACAGCCTTAAAACAACAAATGAATATACAGGTGTGGCTCTTTACTTCTGGGAATCAATTTTTAAAGCAGCACTTTACCTTGCTTTTCTGAGATAGTTCTCTTCTTGGAGATAAGAAACCTTTTTTATGCTTTGTTTTAAACACATAAGCCCAGTAACCCACTAGAATTCCTTGATACAGCACCTGGAATTGCCAGGCTTCAATGCAGATGGACAGTGAAGGCTGGTGATGAAAGCTCTGGCACAAAAATCAGATGACCATGGCTCTTTTCCAACCTCCACCACTGACACAGTGTGAGCCTTCAAGCATGTCTGCCTGCGTCTTCGGGTCTCTTCGGCGTTTGAGACTGCCTGCCAGTTTATGTCTGCCCAGTGTCCCACTCAATGTATATGAGTGAGGACCTGGGAAGGGAGACCTTGGCTGAGTCTTTGCTAAGAGAGACACCACTCTTGGACCACAGGCAATGAGAAAAGTGTGTGGTGGCAGTGGAAGCAGCAAGGCTTTTGCAAGTCAAGTTTCAGTGACTTCAGAGTTTATTTTCTAGGAACTAGCAGTCTACACGACACACCATTCATAATTAATTCCAGATCTCATGTTCAGAGTGAGTTAGTAGAAGCTGCGTGCCGCGGACGGGTGCTATTCTCCTTTGATACTGCTCCGAATCATTTAACAATACTGACTCAAGCTAGAGGGGAGGAAAGAAACAGGTCACACTCAGAGAATATTTGCCAGCCTCTCCCTTTATAACTGCTAACAGAAGTATTTAAAAAGTGATTCTTAATCCCTATCCATATGCAGGGAAATTCAGGAAATTCTACCCTTCCCTGAACCTCTGGATGAAAGGCAGAGGAAGATGGCATTTTGTTTGAACTACATCTGTTGAAGCATAAGGAAATTTTCTAGAGAAGTGACACCCGCTCTTTCTACTGATCTATTCCGGTGAGTTTTGTTTTTAATGACAAAAGTATTTAAATCACTACATCATAATTCTCCTGGTCCTGTTGGAACAACAAAGCACAGAAGCTAAGCAGTTTGTATGAGCAGGGCCTTAGAGCAGCATGAGATTTGCTGCTTCTCACAACCCAGGGCTTGCCAAGACTGAACTGGAGGATGAGAAAACACTCTCACCCTATTCCTTTGTCTCCAAAGGAGAAATGAGGGAGCTATTAGTGCTGTGGGATTTCCAGAAAACTATGTTATGACTCTAGTGAGACCTGGTATGTTGGAGTTGTTGTTTTGGGGTTTTTTTTAATTGTTTTTTCTTGAGGGCAGAAAAACCGTGGGCAAGCAGGCAGGGAGAGTAGTAAAAAAGCCCAAATTTTGTAATTTATTAGTAAGTATATGACTGGTATAAATACTGTATATCTTGCAGGAACAAGCTAGGCTTAGAAGAGTTTCAGATCAGTGCTGGCAAGCCATAAGTTGGTTTTCTACAAAACATCAGTAATTCAAATATGCCCAGACCCCTGTGCTTTTTGGTAGATCTGCATAAAACCCCATGATTTCCATTCACAAGGCATCTCTACATGTACTTTCCCAACTTTCTTTTCCAGTACTTCATCTGCTTGAGTTGTGTCTCTGAAAACTATTACACCTGCATGAAGCTGCCAACATTTGCCTGTCTTGACTTGTATCACAGTGCTTTGCCTAGCTTTTAGTCTGAAAACTGTACTTTAACCACTCTTCATTTAAATCTTAGACCATGTATCATCAAGACATTTAATGGAGTCCAATCATTTTACTGCAGCTCTGATGAAGTATGGGTTAAATGAAAGCTGCTTTAAAATACTTAGTTTTATAACCACTTTATTATTTATCAAGACTGATTTTCCAGGCTTTCTCAGAAATATGGACCCTGATTCAAACAAATAGCTCATTTTGAATGCGCAAGTAATCCTGCTGATTTTTGGAAAGAAATATTGAATCTGTATGACGGATCAAATGACTAAATGCGGGCACATGACACTAGCAACCAGATAATGCTGTCAAAGTGAGCAAAAACTAGGACCCTCTCAAAAAGCAACCTCTGCAACATTCCATTAAGAATCCTAATTTAAGATGTTTTGAGATGCTTTGAGCAATGATTATGAAACTGAAATTATTTGCAAGGGGAAAAATCCAGTTCTGCTTTGATAGGTGTAATATAAGTGTATGATGGCACAGTCAGATGTTGCCACCAAGGTCTCTGTCAAGTGAGAGATGACCGTCTTGGCAGTCTCTCTTCTTTAAGTGAGATGATAAGAGAATTGATACAGATTACATCAGCAAACTGATGTAATACTGGTTCACTCACAAGATTATTCAAATTCATGTTTCTTAGCTGAGACAAATGGAAGAAGTAGACTTGCAGAGAGACAAAGCTTGCTCCAGAGTCAGATAAAAAGTCCACTAGCAGTTTAGGGATTAAATGGTTATGTAATGCCAAAAAATATATGACAGCTTGCAAAAAACTCTTGGAATACTTAGTGGCACACAGACATGAAACAGTGTGTTAAAAAAAATGTGCAGTCATCTGTGGAAAATATGCTTAAGTTATTCGGTGTTGACATTGCAATAAATAAATTAGAAGCAGATCTCTCAAATGTTAGTCCTAGCAGGCAGCCATGTGCTTTGACAAGGTAGTTACTGTGAGAAGCAGAACTGCATCAGAACTGGAAGTGTGGTTTGTACAGTATTTTTCTGTGACCACATGGCCAGCCAGTTGGTCACCAGGCAAAGGTTGGAATGGTTCTTTGTAAGTCTCAGGCAAGTTTTTCAGTTTCATCTAGGATAGACTAAATCTTGTGATTTAATAGGAACATTGTCGTAGAAGAGAGATGAATTTATTTTGCTAGCTTCCTTACTAGCTCCCTAGTCTAGTTGGCAGTGAGAACTATATGGAGACAGTATGGTGGGAGTAATTTCATATTGCTCAGCAACAGCTGAGTGGGAAATTCTTATCATACATAGATTTCTGATTAGAAAGGGCCCCAGGACTTCTGCAACTAGGTGTAGGGGACACTGCAGAAGGAGCTGTAAGTGCTGAAAGTCTGTCTTCAGCTCTTCAAGAGTCTGTGGAAATGTGCATTTGATAGGAACCTCCAGAGGCCATTCCCCTGTCCCAAAGCACAGTCTTTGATCATTCCTGAAAGGTAGTTACATTGACTGTTATATATATACGTATGTAGGCTGGGCAGAGAATGGATTGAGA